GGGCCGCAGCCCCTGCGCCTGCAGCACCGTCACCTGCACGTGCGTGGGCGCCCAGCGCGGGGACCCCGGCGGGGACCCCGGCCCCGGCAGCGACATGGCGATACTGAGCGCCCACCGCCGCCGCCGCCGCTCCTGCTACCGCTGCCTAGCGCCGCTCTCGCGAGAGGCGGGACCGCCCGTGACGTCAGAATGGGCGGGGCCTAGCCGCGGGGCAAGAATTCTGGGCGGGGCCGAAGCACTGAGATCGGGGAGTGGGCGCGGTCAAGGTAGGAACCGGGGGGAGTGGGCGGGGCCTAACTAGGGTGGGCGGGGCCACGCCCCTGGAGTGAGGGCGTGCGTTGTGCCCCTCTCCCGTAGGCCCCGCAGGCCTGGGGCCCGTGCCCCTTCCGGGCGAGGAGGCGCACAGGGCGGGCGCGTCTACCCCAGGAGCGCCCCTCTCGCTGCCAACTGCGCAGTAAGCGGCGCGCCGTCGCCGTGCGCCGACGGCAACTCCGGGCGCCCCACCTTTCCTTAGTGCTTTATTAAGGAAGTCTTAAACTCAAGGCGCAGTATCTCAGGTGCATTAATGAACGTGTAGATGCGGCCAGGTAGGGTCGTTGTGCTTTGTAGATCTTGTATTTGGCGGTCCCGGTTCTGCCCGTCTGGAATAAAGCCAGCGCGGCAAAGTCAGCACTTGTAAGAAAGAGGCCTGTTCACTTCCAGAAGCACCGAAGGCGGCAGGTGTCTGCGTGAACCAGAGCACCCTTGCGACCAGCATGCAGAACTGGACACGAGGCCAATCCCTGCGGGGACAGTGCCCCAGGCGGGAGCGCTGGGGCACGTGCAAGGCTCCTCAGCGGAGCAGCTTTTCTAAATGAAGCACGTTCATTTAACTGGGAGCTTTGTGGCCAGCATCAGTCTCATGCAGCTTTCGAGGCTCTGGTCTCGTTGACCGACTGCACCCAGGAGAGCTGCAGCACCGATGTGCGTGGATGAGGATGGGGCTGGGCTGCTGACAGAACAAGGAGCAAGGGCCTCCAGTTGCAGCGAGGGTGGTTAGGTTGGATTTTAGGAAGAATTTTCTATGATTCTACGTGGGTGTGTAGGACCCATGGCTTTGAGTTTTCCCCCTCCATCTGCACTTGCCCCCCTGGCCCTCTGCTTCTCAGTCACTGAACTGAAGAAAGCTTGTTGCCAGCAGAGAGTAGACAGACTAGGAGGTGGAGAATGCAATTTTGTTGTCTGGGAGTTTCGGTGTGACATGCCAGTGTAATGCTTGGAGGGTGGGGTTCTGCTTTATTTGAGGAACAGAGGAGTCACTCATTCACACTTGAGTTAGTAAACAATGATCTCACCCATTGCCCTTCCTTATATCAGTTCCCGACTAAGATCCCCGTGCATGATCTGTGCATGCTCACAAGACACATTGCGCTCCAGCACTTAGACGTGCCCTCGCTTGGGCTAACTAACACAATGCTAAAAAAAAAGGCCTATCCCTTCCCTCAGACTCTTGGTGCCCCTGGTTTCAACTGACTGGGATGTGAACATTAGCAAAGGCTTAGAAAATTCCTCTGGTGTCAGAGAGGCTTTCGCTGTTCAGGTTTAGGTGCGTTGGTTGTAGCTGTGTTGGTCTAAAGGCATAGGCAAACAAAGTTATTTGGGTAAATGTGATATCTTTTCCATTTTTGCTCTTTTGATCATATGATGTCACTATGTCACGGGGCTGCATTTTACATTGGAGGCCTAGTAAGACAGGGGCCTGAATGTCTGTTCATAAAAAAACTGATGGAAAAAGAAATTACAGAACTTCTCTGTATATCTCTCACACACACCCACACTCGTGCACCAGACACCTCCAAATTGTTTTCTTCGGCACGTCGGTTTTAATGATTCATGTTACAGCTCCCGGGCGAGTCAACCTTTCCTAATCCTAGAACTCCAATCCCTTAATGTCTATATGCACCTTGCTATTCAAGTAACCAGGCCTTTTTTCCCCTGAGGATCTATGGTCAGTTAAAGGAGACTGCTAGGAGCCGATTCAAAATCTGGTAGACCCAAGACCCATGAGTCAAGTGTCTGAGCTTTCCTTTTGACCCCTGACATACAGACAGTGCTGAACTGCATTCATAAATCCAGCATTGGAAGAGATTAGCTCCACCTTTATAGCAGAGACTGAGTATGGAAGATGCTGACTGTTTTAGGAGGTCTAATGGAAACTCTGCTAGCTTAGTAACGTTGGACATCACTAGGCTCTCGCTGTTTAGAGCATATCTGCTGGACAGGCAAGGCAGAGCAATGGCAGTAAGCGTCCGCGTTCACGCGCGCACACACACAAGGTATGTGGTAGCGAAATCTCTAAGCCAGGCCATGTGAAAAACAGCCGAGGTATGTGACAAATGAGTTCACTGCACACCTTTGATCACCTCATCTGCCCTAAACACCTCACTAAACTACTCATTCTACCATTCCAATCCTGTGAGCAACATCTTTTTGTTGTTGCTGTTTCATTAGCCAGGAGAGAAAGGTTGCCTCCTTCTCTCCACCAGCGTTGGATTCTACGCCATAATTATACGTGCCCAAAGTCCCAGTGGAGAAGAATCACTCCTAGCCCCATGCCAGGTGTTTTACTCAGAAACCTGTCATAGCTTTGAAGTCCACAGTCTCGTGGCCGTGTGCGCCTCTAAGTGGATGGATCACACGTCTCAGCAGAAAGTGGCAAGTCCCAGTTGCCGATCGGACCGAGCACTGGAAAGGGCCCGAGATGAAATCCTGTAACACTGTGATGGTTTGAGCCTTGAAAAGCTGGTCCGTACCCCATATAGCAGGAATGCAGCTTTCCTCAAGCCCCACGCAGTCAGAGCTGTGCTAAGGGGCCTGGCTTAGAGGGGAAGGTACGCCCAGGCTGTGAATGTGCCAAAGCAAGGTGAGATGGATTTTGCTGTAGGGGAGCTCACACCTGGATTGGGCTCAGACAGGTGCTCAGACCCAGGTGCCAGTCTCTCCCGCCACCTGCGCAATGAGAAGATGCCCCCTCTGCCCCGCTGTAGAGGGCCAGGCCCAGCTCATAAAGTGCATGTACTTTGTTCACAGCTTGTCACAAATACCTGCAATACACTGCGCTGTGCTTGAGGGCTTCTTACATAGCACCGACCTACTGCAATCAGACACCATTGTCTGCACACCTTGGAAATGCACTTATGTGGCTCGGCAGAAGCAGGGAGGACATCACAGGCCTCTATCCTCAAAATGACCTCGTCCCGTGTCTTCACGGCTAAAAAAGGCATTTTCACTGCACAGAAGGTAATTCGTGATAAGTCCCTGCAAAGTAAAGTCACCATGATGGCAAGGCACTTCAGTTTTACGGTGCACTCAGCACTCTTCTCCCACAGCTATACCTTGTCTGCTTTAACTCACAGTATCTGTTAAGCACCACATTTTCACTGTGTGGCAGGGGAAATACCACGACCACTAAGTCACACCCGAGGATGGCTGCTTTTCTGGCATGGGGTACGTACTGTTCAGTACCCACGGAAGTAACGTGTAGTAAAGCTCCCACTGGCTGCTGGAGTGGGAAAATCTTGGCTTTATGCCCACTTTATGGAAATGGAAGACTCCTCCCAGGCTTGCCCCTGGGGCCTTACAGCTGAGGGCAAGTGAAACACGGGGGCATCTGAAACCCAAGTCTCCAAGCTTGGGCCTGCACGTAGGATGCCTGCCAAAGGATTTGGAAACATCTGAAGCCCCAGATGAGGTGGAGGATGTTTGCCAGCTGTAGGGCAAACTTGATTGACTCGCAGATTTGGAATTGATTTGGCTGATTTGGACCGGAACACAAAAAATTATTTTAAAAAACCCCCATGTTTTCACTGTGTTTTTACCTTGGATGGCTCTCACACGTTGGTTTTCCTGCAGTCCAATACATCTATCTTTCGTAGTGTGAAGACAAGGCTTTTAATCATTCAGAGTAGGGTCTGGTCTCTGCTAACTCACTGCTCTGCATACCAGTCCCCCTCTCGCTTCCTGTTCTTTTATCTTTAAAGTGGGACTGATGATCTATCTTGCCTATGTTAAGTCACTCTGCTTTTGGGGAACAAAACATGGGACATAGCCCTGGATGCTCCACGGGCAGATATTGAGAGCCCTGAAGCCAGAGACTAGCTCATTTCAGGGGCAGTGCAACTGCACAGTTAGTAAATGCCAGCCCCGATCTGGACACAGCCTGTTGCCGAACTGCCCGTCGTCTTTCAGATTTGGGATGAAAGCCCCTTTAGGGAGTCCTATGAGACAGCCCTTGAATGTGAAACTATTCCAGAAAACCCTCTCAGTCCCTCAGCCAGCCCTGCTACTTCCCCCTTTCTAGCTCTCCCACCCCAAGTGAATTCCTGGCAGCTTATTTATTGGATTAGTTTAGACAACAACCTATTTCAAATTGCAAACCAAATAATTAGTCATGCATGTAGTATTTCACCTGCCCAAGTCAGCCACTTAAGCTCTTTTATCTTTTAATAGCTCTGTTTATCTTGTCTTTTGAGACGGGTGAATGTGCAGTGTCATGAGATCAAAAAAAAAGAGGCTTTTAGGTATCATTACCATGCATGCAGCCCCGTGTTACTCAGCATTTTGGCCATGCTTAAGTTTTGCCTATTTCAGGCTGGGTTCAAGTGTGGAAGATGTCAGCACTAGGCAGCATGAGTCTAGCAATACAAACTACAAAATTAAAATGCTATACGCACAGGGATTAACGAAGGCTTCTTGGTAACACTCACATTATCACATCAGCACCTGCATACCTTGGTTACTAGGCCAGTGTTCAGACTGCTTTCATGCACTTTTTATCTTAACTATCTGGGTGACAGTGATTGCTCCTGCTACCATGTCTATCGGGGAAGGACCTTGACCTGGCTAAAGGGGCACTTAGTACCTGTTGCTTGTGTAATTCCATGTTTCCCTTTCCTTCTGCAGTTCACCTAAATAAGCAGCATCTTTGACATTTGGGGCTAAACAGCAGTGCTGCCTTCTGCTGTTCATATACAGTCCATGTTAACCTCTCTGTTAGTAAATTGTGAACCTATTAAAATGTGTTATACAGTATTTGTGCCAGCTGCTGGCATGACGTTAATAACCAGTAACAAGACTTGTTGCATTTTTTCCTTTCCCCTTGTTTCGGAGCTGCCTCAGTCCACTTTGTCCTTGCACTCCAGTAAAGTGTTTCAGCAGTTCTGAAATGAGATTATTAGTGCAAACCACTGGCAGCTGAACATTTTTCCTTTTGACAAGGCTGACCTCAAAGCAGGCTGGAGCCTCTTGCTTGGTATCTGTAATTGGGTTAGGTTTGCAGAGATACAGTGTACTTATAAGATCCTACTGGAAGATGGTGAAATTATGCTGACTTTCAGGGAAGCAGATACTGGAAGAATGTGGGAGATCCTGGTTGAAAAATGCAAGCAGAGGACGTGATGAATGAGGATTCAAACCCTGGACAGATCACGCAGTAATGTGTTATGGGATCTATGGACCCTGGACAGATCACACAGTAACATGCTATGGATGTACTAAGGGTTTCTACCAAAAGAGCCAGGGGCTTTGACTTAGCTGACAGAGGCTACCACGGGACGAGTGCAAGGCAGGCAAGCATTAAAAATGAGGCAACCTGATGAAGGAATGAGAAATTTCTCAAGAGGTTGCTGTAAAAGATAAGACCTTCCCCTTAGCACACCAGCCCCTACTCAGCAGGAATTTTCCATTGGGTTCAGAGAGTGCGGGGCCAGTTAAGGGAGCAGGCTAGCGAGAGAAGAGAACAAAAGTCTCAGGAGATGGCCCTGGGAGGATTGTGTGGCCCCAGAGACAGGGAGGCATTGTGGATGCTTAAAGCGAGCAGTTTTCCTCACTGATCACAAGAAAGGATGTCAAGTGGCGGAGCAAGGTTTTCCTGCGAAAGCAGGGGAGCTGGGAAGAGGAGCAGAGTCAAGCCAGAATCATTTACCGGGAAATTAGGACATCTGGACAGCAGCACGCTCTCGCACACCAAGAGATCAATCGATCAGCATGCAGATTGGCTTAGAGTAGGGGTGGAACTGATTAGTTCAATCCCAGAAAGCATAAGGAAAGAAAGATAATGTGGTTAGGGCACTGGCCTGGTGTTCAGATCCAAGTCAGGTCAGTGACCGTCTCCATGCCTGTGCTCACCCTGTGTAACAAGAGGGTGATGATCTTTCACCCTCATTTTGTCCGTGTTGCTTGTTGGATGTGTAAGTTTCTGGGAGACAGGAACTGAATCTGACCATGCACGTGTGTGGCACCCAGCACAACAGGCGCTCCCATTAGATGGTAAGCAATGATAACAAAGCGACGGTCTTGGGGAGGACTGCTCCTGCCTAAACCCAGCTGTTGGGAACACACTGGCAGCACAAAGCAGACACTGGTGCGGCATCACAAACGGGAGGTTGCCAGTGTGCATAGACATGTCTCCTCTCTCCAGAGATGTGGAGAGTACGTTGGTACTGCAGACTCCAGTGAGCTCTCAAGTTGCTGCCGGGTTTAGGGAGTAGTCCAGGCAGGACAGCCCAGAGCTCAGGGCAGGCTAATTTACCCTGCCAAAGGGGCAAGTGGCACAATTGCAAGAGAAAACCTTGGGGAAATTCACCCCGTATCTATCCCTGTGTACTGCTTGTCCAACTTTGAGTGGTGTCTAGGTCTCATGGTGACCCTCCAGGCAGGATGAGTTACACTGAGGGGAGACCAAGAGATATTACTGAAGAGCTGCAGGGATCAGCAGCCCTGACCCTGTTGCTCTCGTCTGCTCTATCAGTAAGCTGGGAGCTGGAACGCCACATATTTGAGGCAATGGAATTTGCTGACAATACAGAAGCAAGAAAAGCAGCAGCCAGCACAGAGGAGGAGGGTAATCCATGTTCAAACACCAGAGACACAAGAGACAGTATCTAAGGCACCCAGATCTATGCACAGCTGCAATTCTGCATCTCTCTCACACACACACACAGTTGCAGCAGGATCTGGGGAGATGTAATAATGTAGGATAACCCTGTAAACCGTTCAGTACCCAGATCTTAACAGCAGGAGGGAAAAGCAAGAGGGATTCTGGGCAGCAGCTTCTCCAGAGCATAATAAATTACTAATAAAGCCATGCATGCAATACTAGTGCCAGCAGTGGCAAGCCCCGGCTTGGGACGCATTCTCCCTCTGGGCTGGGAGAGGAGTTAAGTGGTAGACAATAAAAGAAATCACCTGCAAAAGCTCTTGCCTCTTGCAGTGAATGATGACTTGTTCCTGACGTGCTGCCAGCCCTCAGCACCTGGGTCATTAATGCCTCGATTGAATGATGGAAGGGCCCCCAGTGCAAACCACAAAGGCACTGTGTTTGGCAGGCAGCACCAGTGAAGCCGTTCAGTCGTGTGCACTCAAAAAGACCAAAGCCAAACATCACTCACCCAGGAGCTGTGGTGCCCTTGGGAATGGGGCTCCCTCTGCTCCTCCGAAGCTTGAATGAGTCACGAGTGGAGCTGTCTCCCACACAGTCAGGGGAGCATTTATACAATGCCCCAGAGATAAGGCAGTGCACAGGTTAAACATAAACCTTTACAGACTGCAAAGAACTGGGCACGAGAAAGGGAAAATATGCCTGTGTCAGGGAAGGCTGTGTGCTGGGCAGAGGAAATGCCCCTGGCTAAGGGCAAGAGCGGAGGGGGAGATGGTTGTGGCAGTGAGGAGGAAGTGTCTTTGTTCCTGTATCTCCCCAGAGCCCAGGCCCTGGTCCAGTCCCATGCAGTGCTGTATCCATCCCTGGATTTATTAAGCAATACAATGAGCCTCTGTAGGGACAGAGGACTTTGATGTTCTGATGAGCTCCTCCCCTGCCTCCCCCACACCAGCCTTTGCAATGAGCCCTGCAAGATTTGAAGGCAGCAAGGAGGGAACGGACCTTATCCTGCTTGGGACAAGTGCCTCCTGAGAGGTGCTCAGCATGCCTGCCTGTCCTCAATGAGTGCTGACAGTACTCAGCCCCACTCTGGAAGCCAGAAGCACTCGCAGACTCAGGCCCAGGGAGTGCCGTGTTCTCCCCTGCTCACCTCCGGCAGCCGGGAGGCTATCTCCAGCATTTCTGCTGTGATGCCAATGAGGTACAACCCTCATCCAGTTGCCCAGTGCCCTTTGTGTGGGTGATGGCGGTCAGCCTGCTGTGCCCCTTTGTCAGAAGGGATTATCAGAGCTGATTCTGGAAAGGAGGAGAGAAGCCACATTGGCACAAAAGCACACAATCCCTCTGCCACAAGCTCCCCAGCAGGGCAAGGAGGTGATAGGAAGAAAGCGAGAAGAAGCTGGAGATGCAGCCAGTATGCTTCCTTCCCCCTTAGCATTTGCACAGTGATCTGGCTCATGAACTGCTCATGACAGAGTGACTGCTCAAATGCCTCATAACACCAGAAGTGAGGAGTGCTCCTGCCACAAGGAACACTCTCCCCCTGCTTTTTTCCCCTCCTTCTCCAGACCCGCTCATTTCTAGATGCAAACCCCACTTATACATACCCGGAAGGCCTCATCATGAGAAAGGAAAGAGCCTGTGGTCTGTAGCACTGTTTTATTAGCCGTCAAACATATCAGATCAGCACATAGCGGGGGCGAGGGACAGCATTGTTAGAATCGCTTCCATTATCAGCTGCAGGGCTCTCGCTCACAGCAGGTCTGCTCCCGGCCAGCAAAGACCTCTGCAGTCTGGAAAAGAAAATCCCCTCCAAGCCCAGCTTCAGAGAGAGAGAGAAATGTGGTGAGTCTGAAATCAGGCAGCAGATGGGCAGGGTGGTACCTTCCAGACTAACTGGTTCAGAGGTGCCTCTCTGCCCTACCTTCTGCTTTTAGAGACAGGAACTTTAAACTAGATTTTTCTTTCCAACAAACCTCAAGCTGAGACGTCTTGGGAAGAAAGGAAGCTTGGCACTAGACACAGGAGTGCTTGAACATTTCAGCTGCAAACATGGGGACACGCACTTCGCTGTCCAAGCTTCCCTCTGACGTAAGCGATCCGGCCCCAACCCCATCAAAGCACTTTCCTGATCGGAACAAGAGAAGCGAACTGTGCACAGAGGGTTATATTTGGTCCTAGTAAAAGAAGCAGGGCGGGGGGTCGGACCTGATGATCTACAAGGTCCCTTTCAACCCTACTTCTATGAATCTAAAGCAACAGTTCCCTCTTGACTTACTAAGGGATTTCCCCCGATACATAAAAGTTGGATGTGGTGTTCTTCCTTCTCCCATCCTCTGGTGACCCAAATCCACTCTTTCCAAGACCGTTGGTCTAGTACTATGCTGCTTGGCACTGTGACTGTGGCAATGTTTACAAAGCAATCGCTGTAGTTCACACGGACATCCCTTTTTTATTTTATTTTTTTATTTGGTGTCTGGGGCCAAATCAGTTCCAAGTTCTAGCCACTGAGAAGAGCTCGGTTGTTCCAGGCCATGTGGCACTACCACCGGCAAGTCTCCTCCCTCCCAGGCTCTTCAGCCTGGGGCTTCAGATACTCCCAGATCCATGGCAGGCATCCTACATGCAAGCCCCCAGTCCAGACGCCTTGGGGTCCAGATGCCCGCTAGTCTTGCTTGCCTCAAGCCAAAAGGCCAAAGGAACAAACTAGAGGGAGAGCCTGAGAGCAATCTGCCGTTACCATAAAATGCATAACCAAGATCCTCCCATTGGGAGGCTGTAGTAGACTCTCACAGGGGTGCCCGCCTGCAGTGCGATGGACACGTCTCCACCCTCAACTGCACCGAGTCATTCAAGGCCAGGAAGAAGGGGATCTCCACTTCCAGGTACAGTAAAATCACCTGAACCAGCATCATCACCATGGTATCTCCTCTGCAGTAGCAGGGGGTTGAGAGCAGGCTGTAAACCTGCTTGCAAAGCTGGATAAATGCTCAGGCAGTTTGCCCAGGGTGAGCTCTGTGCTACCACAGTGACAACCAGTTTACAGCTAGCTTGGACATGTCTCCACAATCTGCAGTCTTCCCTACCTCAAAGGTCTCTTCCAGTGGTGATTTCCCTAGCAAGTTTTGGGTGAAAAAGCATTTGCTTCTGGTGAAGTTTAGCTCTTAGACCGGCAGCCTTGGAACATGTGAATCCTGGAGTCAGTCTCCTGAGTACTGAGCCTCATTACCAGCTGGGCTACTTGGCTACTTGCTTTCTGATCAGGCAAAAACCTGATGACTCCATGTTGTATCAAGGGCTCGATAGCACAGTCAGGAAAAGTTAGGGCAATTCTACCTCTATCATGTACTTTCCCAACTGCCACTGAAGTTGTATTGCAGTGAAGTATTCTTTGCTTCCAGATCTGGGACCCCAGAGCAGCATGAGGCAATCGCAGCCATCCCCCGCAAATGGGGCTATGTGCTGTGAGGTTGGGAAATCCATTTTTTGTTGACTGTCTTGGAAATGGAAAGGGCAAGAGGGAGCGTGAGACCGTCCAGGAGCAGGGAGGCCACACTCTGGATCTCAGAGCATCACGCTCATGGCCACACAGTGGTTGGTGGGAATGATCTTCTGCTTGAAGGTGAACATCTTCTTCAGCTCACTGCGGAAGCGGTCATGCAGCCAGGCATACAGAAAAGGGTTGCAGCAGGAGGAGCTCATGGCAAACCAATGGCAGAGCAGTTGGATGAGCAGAAAGTAGTGCTTGTTGATGAGGTTGATGTCTATGTCACGCAGGATGTTGAAGACATGGATGGGGAGCCAGCAGATCCCAAAGGCAGCTACCACCAGCACAAGGAGGCGGAAGATCTTCCTCTTACGTGCCCGCTCAAACTCTGCCTGGCTCTGCGTTGGGTGGCCGGGCACCACCCGGTTCTTAAGCTTGACCGTGATGCAGATGTAGGAGAGGGAGACAGCCGAGAGGGGCAGGATATAGGTGATGATGAGGGTGCTGTACGCATAGGCCAGATGCTCCTTCTCCTCCTCCATCCAGAACTCCTCGCAGATGGTAAAGCCCTCACGCTGGAACTCCACGTGATAGGTGTGGGCAATGGCCGGGGCCACCAGGGCACAGGACAGCAGCCAGATTCCCCCCACCACATACACACAGCTGGTGACAGAGATGCGCTTCTTCAGAGGGTGCACCGTGGCGTAGTACCTGCAGGGAGAGCATAGGAACAAGTTATGGCTCCCATTGCCACTTTCTCCTCAATACTCCTGTTCCTAACAGCCCCACCCCACTGCACTCCTGGAGTAGGGTTGAACTAGCTTGTGCAAACCCCTGTGATGGCAGGCTTGCCGCATGCATGCATACTAAGCCCAAATGAGACCTCAGAGCTGCACAGAAAGCAGCACATGCAAAGGGACCTCCTCATCCCCCTTCTCTGAGCTGAGCTAGCAGTTGCCTGCTGCAGCTCTTTGCACCAACCTGGAATCAGCCTAGCTGGCAAAGTTTACAGCTGGGGCATGTGAGCCCACAGATCAAGCAGGGAGCAGCTGGAGCAGCAAGCAGAAACACAAAAGTCACCGGCTACAGAGATAGAGTGGTCAGTGCCATCCCCGTGGGGACAGAGCTGCTACTCACTTGCTAGGGCTGATGAGGTACGTGCCCCAGAGTAAAGTATACTAAGGACTTGTCTACACAGAGGGGAGTTAGGAGAAATTAATGCACATAAATGGCAGCAAATAGAACCCATGTGGCTGCTGCCATTGGGAAGCAAAGCGCCTTTTGTTTGCTGTAGCTTCATCCTTAAGCTGCAGCATCCACATGGGGTTTTAATGCACTTTAATAGCATGCATTAGCTTCACATGGTTCAGCATTTCATCTCCACTCCCTCCCTGGACAGGCCCTGAGTAACCTGCAGTTACCACAAGGAACCGCCAGAGGCTATCTGGCATCACAGCTACCCTGGACAGGGTTGCATGCGGACCACGTCGGGCTGCAGGTATGGCCAGTTCTGCATGCACCCGGGGCGCCTACAAGGGGCAAGCACCACGTTTCCAAAGCAGCTTCAATTGAACCTGGTGCTGTCCGATGGGACTCGGGACTGGATAGGCCCTTGCTTCATTCCAGCATGGCTGTCCTACCTTCCCCAGTCTCTGGCATTGGCTACAGTCCCTACCGCTCCTGGTAGCTTTGGCGATGGAGCAATTACATGACAAACTCCACACAAGTGAGAGGCACTGGCAGCAGCCGGCTAATCCTCAGCACCAGTACATTCCAGTACTGAGCACAAAAGCTACAAAAGAGCTTTCCTCCTCCAGCACCGAGCCTGACATTTTCCAGTTAGTCAAACATTTAACAGCCCCTTTTTCTTCTTTCATCAACATGACATTTGTGTAGCATTTAATTAATCACAAAAGACCCAACACATGGGGCCAAGGCAACAGGAAACAACCCCCTGCCAGCACAGCAAAGCCTCTGGTCCCCGCGAGCTGCAATTATCCCAGCAGAAGCACAGCCAGAGAATTAACTTGAAGCAAAGCATTTATTGTGGAAGGATGAAATAATTGGGGCTTTTCTTTTCCCCATCCTGAGGCCTTGTGTTAAGCAGCAGGTTATTTCTGTCAACGCGAGGAACTCACCCACCAATCAGCACACTCCTGTTCCCTTGCCCAAGCAGCCCTTTCTATAAAATTTTCTCTGATTCATACTTGAGACATTCAGGCAACATTTTAAAAGAGCCTAACAACTTTCCCCCTGTTAATCTCTCTTCTCCTCCTCCACCACATGCATTATGCTGGTTTCTGTGCTTTTTTTTTTTTTTTTTTTTTTT